AGGCTGTTCTACATCTTATATCTGTCTTTTCGGTCAAACTCTTCCTGTATGTCTGTTCCTTATCATCCCAAATGAAAAACAAAACAAAAAAGAAGACTGAAATGGACAAACTAATGTGACAGACACCATTCTTCATAAGAGTTTAAAAAATAAATCCTTAGGTTTGTAGGTTAGACAGTTGGAGGAAGATCTACAGATCTGATCAGTTGCTTGTGGAAACAATATTTCAGGCACGCAACACAAAATGCATCTCAAGATCATTTGCAACCTGTACTAAATATACTGGAGTACAATTCTCAGACTGCAAAGTTCAGCCATTTGGGGGCAGCAAAATACCTTGGGCTGGCCCTGACTGGAAAGGGCCCAAGCACATACTTGCTCAGAACACCACACAAGCATCTATTAGGTCATCAGACCTAAGGTGGAGACAGGTCATTACTCCATCTCCAATTTCTGTGACATGGCCTTCCTAGCAATTAGAGTCAGGGGGGCTAAGTCTAAACCACACAGTTAGGGAGGACTGTGTGCTTTAGACTTCAACTCCAAAAAGGTCTAGCCAGCATGACCAAGGGTAAATTATGGCTAGATAATTATTTCATATTCATGTTAACATGAAGGCAAACTTTTGGATATGGTCCTTACTGCACGGCACAGTACGCATCCTGTTGCCAGTCTGCCAGCCCCCCGTAATAAACAAGCCCTCTGCTACTGGCAGGAAAAACCGTCAACAGCCACATGCCACACCATGTTCTTGCCACCTACCTTGTGTGACGGGGCCATCCCGTTTCTGTGCCAGGATGTTGGCACTGAAGTGATGTCAGAGGATAGAATTGTCCTCCTCTCCTCTCCAACCCTCCTCCTTGCTATTCCCAAGGCTATAATCCTTGAATTAAAATTTTATTTTTAATTTTAAAAATATCTTTAGCCACAACAGTGAATTTTTGTAAATTACAGAAGGGCAGAGTTATGAGGTAAAGCAGAAGTATGGTTGCAGGATAATGGATTGGCAAATTGGTACAATTGTGAGAATGCAGAGAGGTACAATAGTGAGAGTGCTCATTCTGGTATGTTGCTACTATCATTGGTTGCATGATTGTCAAGGAATAGCAAACCAGGGCTGACCACTCCCATATCTCCACTCTTGGCACACCATTGTGCCCAGCTGGATAGAAGCTACCATTGCATGGTGCAATATGTGTATATTATTTCTATTATTATTATTATTATTATTATTATTATTATTATTATTATTTTAATATTATTATATTATTATTTAGTAATATTATGTTTTACTTCTTGCTCAGGCAGGAACAGAATTGGGTTATGGAGCCCCCGGTGGCATAGTGGGTTGAAGCGCTGAACTGCTGAACTTGCAGACCGAAAGTGGCAGTGGTTCTCAACCTGTGGGTCTCCAGGTGTTTGGCCTACAACTTTCAGAGATCTCAGCCAGTTTACCAGCTGTTAGGATTTCTGGGAGTTGAAGGCCAAAACATCTGGGGACCCACAGGTTGAGAACCACTGGGCTATGGGATATTTCACAGAATAGTGACTTTGGTCCTACATGTATTTCTAAGAGATGGAACTGTTTATCTTACACTAACAGTCGATCCTCCTAAATGTTTTATTTCTTAAGGAACTCAGAAGATGTAATACTTTGAGTGTTGGACTATTCTCTGCAGACCAGGGTTCAAATCTCCACCTGACCATAAAACACATTGGTTAGCCTTGAGCAAATCATACTCTCTCTGCCTTAGAGGAAGGCAATGGTGCTGCACACATGGTGCAATCTGTTGGCTTTCATGTTAAATGGAGTGATTAATCCAATCTGTATTTTAGTCCAACTTCAAAGAAGCTATCCAAAAGGCTGAACCTACTAAATTTTAGACTAAAACCCAAAACATTGATCTGGAACACAGCAGCCAACACAGGTTACAAATATATGCACACACTGGCCATCAACTATTTTAAACAGCATTTTGTGAAGCAATGCCGTGGAGGTCAACAGCAAAAAGGATCCAGGTTATTTGTTGTTGAAAAGAAATGTAAATCAACTGAGTGAATTCAGGCAAATTTAAGTAAGCCTGTTTATGTCTGATCTTAGGTAACTGCTGGCTAATGAGCACCAAAATAGCAATGTAGTCTTCATAAAATCTCTATTGTCTTCGTTTTTTTGTAAACTCTTTCCCCAGAAGTTGCCATGCAAGCACACACATTAAGGCCCGCACATTTGAAATGGAAGGAGGAAGGCCTCGGCAACCTCCAAATTCAAGCCTTCCCAGACATTTCCTCACTCTTTATCTGCATCTCATGTATATGAAATAAAGTGGAGCAAAATGAAACTGTTTTGGGAAGAAAGACTCAGGCGCTAGCTTCTCATGGGAAATGGGGAGAGAAGGGAAACTAAATAACAAAAGCACAAAGTGGCGGAGGGGCGCGGGGAGGGAGCGCTGTTTGAAATCAGCAAACATCAGGGCTCCTGTTTCTGTTTCATGAGGGCTGTGCTTTCCTTTATTAGTTGCAGATCGGGTTCCTTTGCAGGTGATGCGGTCCCAACATTACATCACCAGAAGAGCAGCCAAGGAACATCTTAGTGCCAGGATGACTGAAGCACAGAGGAATGTATTATCACACACAGGCTACTGAGAAACTTGCCAATCTTTTCTTTGCTGGGGGTGCTGGGATGGAGAGATGAGGGCAGAACATGTCACTGGAAGAGTGAAAGAAGGTTTTTGTAGATGAAAAATGTGAAGGGGGGGGTGAGTCTGACAGACAATCCCCTGCAAGCACGGATAATCGTAGCCATGTCTCTTCTCTGCGGAGGTTTAGGAGCATTAACAAAGCCCAGATTTAGTAGGCTAATGTTCGAACAGGATAACATGACTCCCCCCGCAATTCTGTACTGGAACAAATTAATCAGTATTTCTCTGTACTTGGGACCTGGCTGTTTCAGCTGAAGGATAGAGCTTCTGGGACTATGAGCTAAGAACGCTCCAACATGAAATCATTATCTGTGGCTTTTAACCTATAAATGGAAAACTCACACCAGAGCTGGAAGTATAAATTATAACCCAGATTGAAATGATTCTGGAAATTTTTATGTATCAAAATATAAGAAAGGCTCTCTCCCTAAATTTTGTTTCCCACCATCTCCACCAAATGCATCAAAGGAGTGTAAGCTGCAGGGCCCCAATGACTGTGGATTCCAATTCTGTGCAGCAAGGAATCCATGTTGAGTTTTAGTCAATTAAAAAATATATAGGTGCACTGGACTATAATTTTTGAATGGGTTTAACATTTCAGATAACCCTTTCAAAGTCTAGGCTAAAGTCTGGAATTGATTCACCATCCCCTAATATGGAGGAAACCTTGGACTATCCATCAAACCATGAGACAAATGCTGCTGTAGATGGTTGAAGTTATAAGAAAGTAGATTTCAACTGAACATTAGAAGGAACATTTTTTTTGTGCAAATAAGTTTTTATTTTGTTTTTAAAAAATTGGAAAAAATAACTCAAATAAACAATAAAAAGGGAAAAAGATGGGAAAGATGGGAAACATCACAGTATATAGTATATAAGTTAAGGAACCAGTTAGTTAAATAGTTCTCCACATGAGTCTATCGTATCTAAACAGATAATAAGAATTGTTGCAAATTGAACTAATTGCCTAGAAAAATAGTGAGGTCTCCTCTGGATGGATAGCTATCTGCTGGAAAGGCTGCAGCTAGAGATCTTGCAGGACCCATGAGATTCCTTCCAACTGTATGATTCTATAACTCTATGGTTAGTGAACTAAGGTAGTAAAGGTAAAATTTTCCACTGACATCAAGTCTAGTCATGTCTTACTCTGGGGGATGGTTCTCATCTCCATTTCTAAGGTGAACAGGCAGCATTGTCCGTAGACACCTCCAAGGTCATGTGGCCAGCATGATTGCATGGTGTGTCGTTACCTTCCCGTCAAGGTGGTACCTATTCATTTACTCACATTTGTATGTTATATCTGTGGAATGTCCAGGGTGGGAGAAAGAACACTTGTTTGCCTCAGGCAAATGTGAATGTTGCAGTTGGCTACAATCAAGGTGGCCAACTGCAACATTCACATTTGCCTCAAACAGACTAGAGTTCTTTCTCCCACCCTGGGCATTCCACAGATATATAAATCCCACTTGCCTAGTTTCCAACAGACCTTACAACCTCTGAGGATGCCTGCCATAGATGTGGGTGAAACGTCAGAGGAAAATGCTTCTGGAATATGGCCGTACAGCCGGGAAAACGCATAGCAACCCAGAAACAGGAAAGTTAAGAATGAATGTAATTGTATGCTAAAGGTATCTAAAAATGATTAACAGTAGGATACGGAACTGCTTTCCTTTGATTCAGTGTCCCTAGAGGTTTATTTCTGATTTCTGAGATATCTATCTTTCTGCAATCTAAATTACAGCAGTCTAAGAAATTCTCTAGAAAACCCCAATTTGAATTAGTTTATATTAAATTATCGAAACAGAAGTACATATGTGTGTGTGTTTCTATTATTTTAAATAAACCAATTCAAATTGGATTTTCTAGGGGATCTCTTAAAATGCTGTGAACAGTCAGATATATCTTATCCCAATTTAGCGCAGCCTGAAAAACACTTTTTGCAAATATTTCTTTCTGGGTAAAAAGTAGACAACTGTTGAACTATTCATACAATTGTTTTCATCACAGAAATCTGCATAATATGAGTTAATTAAAGCTGAACAAAGCATACAATGAAGCCTAAAGACATTAGTCCTGCATCTGTAGCAGAGCTACCAAAAAGCAGACACTAAATCTGAGTTGGGTCGGGAGGTGTGATGTGTGGTGGCCTGGGGGGAAAATCAAAATGTTAATCTGATTCTGTGATTATAATTGCAATTCTGGAGTTCTGCTATGGATAAATCATTGAAAAGTTTTCATTCCCTAGCAACATTGCATTGGAAATGTACAATTCATTCAAAAGACCATCTCCGATGTGCTCACCTTTCACGCTCTTGCTCCAAGAGGTTGGTAAAGTCATCGCTCTTGTTCATGTAATCTGTATGTTTATGCTTCTCATTTTCCAGCTCGTAAACTGTGCGACGGTGGCATTTCTCTGCCAAGAGAAGCTGTTCAAGCATGCGCCGGTATGTTTCTTTTTGCTTTTCTTCAAGTCTGTCCAGCTGGTTTATTGAAACATAAAATAGACTGTGTTAAATCTGTTGTTGGATGGTTTTAGTATATCTGCTAAATAAGAATTTTGTGTTACATAAACTTGACATGGCCTCTTTTATTTTTCACAAGCAGCCATAAGTAATAAAACCCACTGTTTTCCATTTGTTTCCAGTATTTCTTTTTGCCTATTGTAGACCAACTGCAGCGGAGGAAGAAAGTTAAAATGTCAGTCATAACAAGCCACTTTCTAGGAGAAGAAGACACTGTGTTTTTAACCTTCACAAGAGACTTGAAAAAATTGAGGAACTGACTGCTTACCAGGTATTGCATTTTATATTTCAGTACAAAAGGGGGAATACCTTACTGTGAGAAAAGGAACGATTCCCAGCAATGTTTGAAACAGGAACAGATGCATCAATTTGCTTCTATACAGATTTGTGTGAGTTCACTCATGAGCACACCTATTCCTGTTTCCTGGATCAAGTACTTCTTCCCCTCAAGCAAATACTTTATGATTTTGGGGTGATTGCCTGGACTTGATGAACTTGATAGGTTTCAAACAATCTTGGCGATTCTTTTCGATAATTGCATAAGATGATACTGACAAAAATCAGCAGACAAGCACAGCATGGATATATTCAAGTCAGTAAAACAATATGAATCAGACAGACAATCTATCTCATTATGAATCTCTCCAAATGTCAGGATTTTCAAGAGAAGCCTCAGAAAAAACCACCACCATGAATGTGTTGTTCCCAGTCTGGGATATACAATTTCCTCTCAAAATTGTGATCAGTTCCCACTCCTATTGCTCGTAAGGAAGGGTGTGAGGAAGGGAGGAAGAAAGTTAAAATGTCAATCATATCAAGCTACTTCCTAGGAGAAGAAGAAACTGAGTTTTTAACCTTCACAAGACTTCAAACTAGGCTTTAAATTGTTCTGATGTTTACTGGTGTTATTGTAGGGATCTTCCCAATCTCTCTCTCTCCCCCCCCCCCCCCCCCCATTTTTATGGTTGTTAGTTGATGTGGCTGCTTCTTTCATAGAAAGGCAGGAGATTAACAAACAGAATGATTAACAGTTCGGTCAGCAGTTTGAATCCAGAGAGTGGGGTGAGCTCCTGTCTGTCGGCTCCAGCTTCCCATGCTGGGACACATGAGAAGCCTCCCACAGAATGATAACACATCCGAGCATTCCTTGGGCAATGTCCTTATACCAGAAGTGACTTGCAGTTTCTCAGTCTCTCCTGACACAAGGAAAAACAACAAACAGAACTAAAATATATAAAATGAGAAGGCTTTCCATTGTTAGCAAATACTGAACATTTTGCTAGAGTCACAAGCAAGCCTTCAGTTGTAGTTTTCCACCAGCCTCCAAATTTACAGAGATTGCTGGCAAAACCTGTTTTGCAAACTTCAGTTAGCAATCTAGAACTGTGTCCTTTTGATTGAGAGCATTGCACCACCTGTAAGCATCTTAAGCAAACTGTCACCTTTAATAGCACAGCAACTGATAAAACCTCTGTGAATTTCAGAAACCACAGGCCTACAATCCTGATCAAGAGTTGGAGCAAGCAGTGGCCAGCTCAGGACATTGCAACCTTTCTGAATTCTCCCTGGCTGTTTTGGCATGCAGTGCCATCTCCTTCGGGCATCTGGTGCGAAAAGGAGAACATCAGCATTCATAGATTTAAGGCCTGAGCCTAGAACACCAAAGAATGCAAGAACAGAGTACAGTCGGTCTTCCACATTCACATCCATGGATTTTGAATGTATGGATTCAACTAGATTTGGAGAAAAAAATCCAAAAAGGCTATTTTATGTTAGGAGTGCTATTTTATGAAGCTACTGTACACTATAGGATCTGAGCTTCTTCCGATTTTGTCATCCATGGGAGTGGGGGTTCCAGCAATCAAATCCCTTGAATGTAGCTCGGTTTCATCTTTAGCAACTGAAGAAGCCAAGCACCTAGCTGTTTTACTAATTTTATATTTTAGAACTGTTTCTAAATGACTGGTGTTTGTGTGTATGTGTGTGTGTATGTATATACATATATACACACAAACACAAACAGAGTCAAAGAGAAATCAACTGCATCCTTCTAGGAAACAGGACACATTTGTTGGTTTGCTTTTTCATCACACATACATAGAATATATACTCTATGCTATTGGGTTGGGTTACGTAAACAGCTGTGTTGTGGTGAACCAAAGGGCAATCAGTTATTTCTTTATTTTCTGCAGCAAATTCAAGTTTTCACATAGTACCTGCATTACATGTCACCATGACTTGGTCACCTTTGTGATAAAGTGCTCAACAATTTGTAGTCACAATAATACAAATGACATTAGTTTCAAATGTAGATCTTTATAGGATACTTTTCAGTGCATATTTGCTCAGAAGTATCTCAGGTGCCAGTAAGACTTAATCCTGTGTTAAATGTTTATACAGTAAAGTCTTGCTTATCCAACCTTCGCTCATCCAATGTTCTGTTTTATCCAACACAGTCTGCCTCCCACCCGGATCCACAGCAATGTTTTGGTGCTAAATTCGTATATACAGTAATTACTACATAATGTTACCATGTATTGAATTGCCTTTTCTGTTGATTTGTTGTAAAACATGATGTTTTGGTGCTTAATTTGTAAAATCATAATGTAATTTGACATTTCATAGGCTTTTCCTTAATCCCACCTTATTATCCAACATTTTCACTTTTCCAACATTTTTGCTCATCCAATGTTTTGCCAACCTGTTTATGTTGGATAAGCGAGACTCTAGTGTAATTTATTTTCTAAAGTTTGAGGAGTTCTCAGCAATTGTTTGCAAAAATGAAACATGCTCGGTGCTAACAACAGCTTACCAACTGTAGGCACTAATACTGTCCTCCCACTAATGGTGAAGGAGAGCAAGACAGAATGGGATATCCCTGCATTCTGTGATAGTATTCTTAGTTGATATTAAAAATCAACAGCAAAGACAAGGAAAGTATCCTGACTCACTGAGTCAGCCTGACTCAAAGCAAAAGGTACTTACTTACCTCTGAAATTGGCTTCTCATAAACATCTTCTCCAGCTGACTTCTCATGGGCGAGGAGGGCATCTCTATGCAATATTTTCAGGACATTCTGTGGAGCTGCAGATCCATAATGTGCCTCCAGAACATCAGGCCTGACTTTCTCTGTCTTCAGCATATGGATCACATCTTCTCTAGCCTGCAAGTTCACACTTCAATATTATTAATATTGTTCCTATTAACCTGATACTCTTCACATATTGAAAGAGCAGAGCTTGAAAAAGCTATTGCTTTGGATTAAAGCACACATTCTGGAAGCTATTGTCCAGAAAACAACTGTCCAAGTTCTATGGAAGGACACTGTCTGCTTTTGAGTTAATATAATCATGGCTTCCTAGGTTGCCACTGAAATGGGAGGAGTTCCTTTTTCTGTAGTAGAAGGTTTTCTTTCTCCTTCTTTGGTATAAGGATGAAGCTCAATATTGTTGATGAAGAAGAAAGATTCTGTCTAGGATTCTCTTTTACTTATGGAATAGCTCTAGTCAGCAGAATGAGGAGCCCTTTTACACAATTACGGTCAGCCCTCCACATCTCCTGGGGTTAGGGGCACAGGACACCATTGGACGTGAAAAATTAAATAATTTTTTTTGCTATAATTTTACCATCTCTCTAAGAATTTCTAGGTTTTTCAACATGATGCTATGATTGAGTCTCTCTGGAAGCTGACCATTGAACTGCACTGGAAGACTTACCACCTAATAAGATGGTAAAATTGTAATCCATTACTGAAACCATTACACCACTGGCTCACCTTTGCAGAGAATATTAGATATTAATCTGGATGTTGCATTTGGGACTAGGTGCAGTTTTCACATAGACTTCAGGAATAGCCCCATCTAAAGCGCATTACAGTGGTCTGGTGGAAACACCGAGGGCCACCTTCTGCATATTCAGAGATGACAGCCTGGCTGTGCTAACAAACAGAATGCTAAACAAGTCAGACCTCGAGCAAGACACTCCTTAAGGTCTAATAAGATTTTCAAGAGGGCATTCATGGCTCCAAGCATGTGCAGATTCCAAAGCTCTGCCATGCCTACTTTGTACAGAATGCTGCTGTAACAGCTGCACTTTGAATGCCAAGGTCCAGTGCAGCACATCCAAGACTTATTTACTTATTTTCTACATGGGACTGGAATAATCTGTCTTAATTTAGAATTCATTTATTTAAGGTATTCTGTTGCAAGTCCAGGAAATCAATCTGTTTCTTTCCTTTTAAATGCAGTTTTCAGCCCCCTACAACTTAATTTCCCAACTAGTTGACATGCAACATAAGATAATTAATCAGGTCTTTTGGATCAAAGACAGCAAAGTTAAAGACAAATAGGCACGTAATCCACAAATACAGTCCTTTGTGAAATAATTGGAAATTAATTGGATGTTATTAACATCCCTGGATAGCTTTTCTGGCTTTAATAATGGACAGCTAGAAGTACGTATCTAAAAATGTTGTGAAATAAAAGATCAAGGTTTACTAAGTATATCATTTTGTTCTGATTATACTACACTGCTATCTGTCAAATCCTGATTATGAGCACTGTGTATTCCTTGGCCAATTTATTAATAGTACAACAGGTGCTGTGTACCAGTATGAGAAATAAGATAAGGTCATGGGTCCCCCAGGAAGTGTTGTGGCCAGTAGTGCATTTTCTGAATTCCAAAAGACTTTTCAAACTGGACCAACAAAGACCGTGAGTAAAATGCTGTCATGTTGAATGTCTAAAAGGCATTCCGGCGATAGTTCTCAATCAGCTTCAAGTGCTAGAAGAGAAATGCTCTAGAGGTAGGGTAGTAAATCATTATTCTATTCTCACACCCAAGAATAAAAATAAGTTTTCTCTGTGCCAGGTGAAACGACAAGAATTTTTCACATTTGGGCTGGTGTGGGGTTTTGTTTGCTCAGAGACATTGGAAAATATAATTCTGCTAGAAAAGGATGATATTTTGTGCAAAAGAATTATGTATGTACATCATATTCGAATAACAGATCTTGCATCAAAAATTATACAGTATTTTGTGTGAAATATAAAGATTTCAAGCAGATTAAATGATTCCAAACTGTCTGCAAATAAAAACAATGTTCCAAATGCTCTCATAAAATGTTCCAAACGCTCTCATAAAATGTCAAGGCCTTCCTTTTTATAGTGTACCATGAAGAAAAAAACCCTACAGCCCAAAACAATTTCTTAGTTTATTATTATCTTTAATCAGTGAGCAGTTCATTTTTGTGCACAACTCAAAGTGGGCTAGATTATATATTTAGTTTCACTTTAGTGGGGAGGGTATCTGGTTTGTGGAATGACATGAAGTGATCTTGTTTGCTGTGCACTAATCTTGTCATGTATCAAATAATAATAATAACAACAACAGTCAGCATAGTGATTTTGTTTGCTGTGTACTGATCTTGTTGTGTTTCAAATAGTAATAATACTTTATTTATAACCCACCCTCTCTCCCCAAAGGGACTGAGGGTGTGATTGCACAGTCAAGACAATTTGCATAGATGCATACTTTACACAATCCACGAAGAGTTGTAAAAATGTCTGTTGCCATTGCATATACACTTGAATTGGTTGAGTTTTACTCTCTAACCAGAACTGTCACAAGCAAACTACTATGGTATGCAAGCTTGCTATTTCACAGGAAATGTCAATCTAAATCACACTCATCTTGCTCACTATGCAAAGTAAAGACCAGCCAGCCTAGCTAGTGTGTTGCCGTTATCTGATGTACTGTTTTTTAAAAACAATACCGCTGTGACAAGCTATTCTTCATTTTGCTTGGTATTGGTGACTGAGTACTACTTTCTCTAGACTAGCAAAGAAATAAATATTGGAAGGTAAGTTGGACTAGTTTGATAAGCTAAGCACCACTCTGTTGCATAATCCTGCCTTGCTGAGATCAGACACTTTCCATCTGATCTCCGAGGCAGGTCACTGTTCTAGGCAGACCACTGACCTATTCTAAACCATTGAACCCACTCTGTCCTTCTCTCTGTAAAACTTTATGTAAGCCACGTCTCCAGTGGGCCGTGAGAGCTCCAGTCCCAAATGCTTAGCAAACAAAAACCATGGAGGGAATGCTTCCAGGGATGCTAAGCAGCCACACTTTGTTCCTTCTTACAGCAAGCTTTGAAACAGATCAAATGAGCCACTGGAAGACATCTGTCTGTTACTCCCTGCCCGCACAGTTTTTGGTTCCTGCTTTATTCTTGCTAAAGAGCTGCGCGGATGATGTCACCTTTCTCTGAAGAGAACAGGCCACCAGAGCCTTTCACTGACATAATTCATTATCTGTAGTCTGGCCCCGGGACAGCAAATTCCCATGACAAAGAATTAACTCGACCCCTGCTTGATGTTTAGAGGCCTGGAAAGATATCACTTCCAGTTTCGTTGACACTGAAAAGAAGCTTTGTTCTGTATTATCACACCAAAGGGAAGGTTACCAAGGCCTAGAGTTCCCCAGTCCTTGGCAGGACAAGAAGCAAACTCTAAAGGTCACTGTAGATTATACACACAAATCAAAAGCGTGTTGAGATATGTCTTACATGCTTCAGGAATGAAGGCGTCACAATGGATAAACCAGCTGACGGGGAGTTTGCAGTTGCTAGTTATTATAAAATGCTTCTCACAGACAAATTTAGGCATCCTTAGATAGTGTATGAACATAAGACTATCAGTCACTGGAGTCACTGAGGGTTACCAGAGCAGCCCAGGTCTATTTTTTTACCAACAGTAGATGCTCACAGGTAGTTCAATGCCAATGGCAGTCCATTTCCTGAGCCAGAGAAAAGGAAAAGTGCATGGTACTAGCTAGAGCTACTGCCTTTAAGTGAAGGCCAATGAAGAAAGAATTAGACAACAGAACAATTTCCCCAGTAGTAACGCTGATCCTTAATTCTTTATCCCTACTCCTGTGCACAGTGTTTGAGTAAAAGGAAAAAAATGAACCAACTAATCACAATTCTTCAGGCGACCTTCATGACGCTTCCTTGGGTGCATCTACACCAGGTATGGGCAAACCCAGGCCTGGGGCCGGGTACACCCCCTTGGGCTCTTTTCTCAGGCCCTCCTCTCTCTCACCATCCTATCCTTCCTTCCTTCTCTCTTTCCTTCCTCCTTCCCTCCCTCCCTTATTTCACCACCTCCTTCTTTCTTTCTCCTTCCCTACTGCCTTCCTTCCCTTCCACCCTTTCGTGCTTCCTTCCTTCCCTCTTTTCTCCCTCCTTCCCTCTATCCCTATTCCTACTTCCTTCCTTCCCTCCTTCCCTCCCTCCTTCCCTTCATTCCTTCCTCCCTCTTGGGGGATGTTTAGCTGGAAGAAGAGAAGGTAAAGAGGGAACATGAGAAACATGTTTCAAGATTTAAAAGGGTGTCCCACTGAGGAGAGGAGCAGGGGGGCACTAACTTTCTGCTGCTCTAGAGACCTGGGCACAAGGGACCAATGGTTTCAAATGGCAGGGAAAGAGATTCAACTGAAAGGATTTGGAAGAACTTCCTGAGAATAAGAGCTGTTGGCGAGTGGCATAGGCTTCCTTGGAGTATGGTGAAGCCTCCTTCTCTGGAGCCTCTTCTACAGAGGCTGTCTATTGGGAGTGCTTTGATTGTGCCTCCTTGTATGGCAGGGGGTTGGATTGCATGGCTCTTGGGGGTCTCTTCCAGCTTTAGGAATCTAGGTTTCTATATCAGGAGTAGGCAATACAGGGTCTAATTGATATACTTTTTCTCTCCTGTCCACCATCTCATCCTGATCAAGGTCAACCCCTTTGAGATCCAAACATTACCTGTCTTTCCTTCACTTTCTGCCTCTGAAAGAGAAAAGGAAGGAAAGGGCAGGGAGGGGACTTGGGGAGAACTCCACCCCACTCTGGCCTGCCATGAGGCCCCCAAGTTAGAAAGTTTGCCCATGCCTGATCTACACTGTAAAATTAATGCAGTTTGACATCACCTTAGCTACCACTGTTTAATGCTATGAAGTACTGAGATTTGAAGTTTGATAAGGTACCAGCACTCTTTAGCAGAGAAACCTGTCGACCTTGTAAAAGTACAACTCCCATAATTTGATAGCACAGTTAAAGTGGTGTCAAACTGCATTAATTCTACAGTGTAGATGCAACCCTAATCTTTCCAGGAAAAAATATTT